TGTAACTATATCTGATATTACAACTAATGAATTATTCGAATTATTCGTAATTAATTTTCTTTTTTCAAATTCATTCATTACATTACATTCATTCATTCATTCATTCATTCAATAACATCTCACGGAATTTATCAAATAAATAATAATAATAATAATAATAATACTTTATTTGTATGCTGTTCTAATCATTTTTTAGAACTATTGCTCAAGTATTTCAAGTATTAAATGTTTAGGAATTTAAACATAATTCTATTTTGGGATACATTCACAAACTTCCGATGATGACATTGCCAAGAATTCAATGATTTTAAAGAAGATTCTTGTTACCGAATTATCGGGTTATTATAGAAATAGGAATTCATAAATTTATAGATTCATTGTGAATCATATTACACTGCTGTTTCCAAAACGAGAAATTAGATGAGTGAACTCACGGATGTTAACAACTTGAGATTTACCGAAACTTTCTGTTAACAAAGAAAAAAAAAATATAGGAATTTACAAAGAAAAAAATGTTTAAAAATAAGTTAACGAATACAAATAAATAGATCACTCGGTAAAGGACGATTGTAAACCCATCAAAAAGATTAAAACTTTGAGAGTCAAAAAAATTTAATTAACAAATGTAGGACTGAATAAATATGCTTTTACTTGTGACACATTTATTATCAATATTAAATGTGATATTAAATGTAAAGAAGATAATTGCAATTTTTCTATAGTAATACCAATTTAAGCGTACACCAATGCTATTTTAATATTACATTATCTGTTTGCAAAACTATTGATCATTTACATTCAGTAGTCTTTTGTCATCGGACATCGGTGGATTGTTTTTTCTATTGATGTTTTGTCGTACATTTTTTTCTTTTCAAATGCAATATATACATTTTTTATCATAATAAAATTCGCGTTCTTGTATGTACGTCCATGTGAGATGCTTATCGGAAGATGCGAGTGATATTTGAGTATATATACTTGAATATATATTTGAATATATACTTGAATATATATTTGAATATATACTTAAATATATTTTTGAAATATATTTTTGAGTACATATTTTTTGTACATATTTTTTTGAATATATTTTTAATGAATATATTTTTAGTGAATGCGTAAATTTCAATCTATTACATTTTTCGTTAAAGAGAAAAAAAAAAAAACTAAGAAATCAAAGTTTATTGATAGACATTTTTATTTACATTAATCGAATATCTCTGTTAATCAATATTAACCATAAGGAGATTTAAAGGTATCCGTTCACCATTAAACCTTGTTTCTACGATTTTTACTGAATTTTACTAAATCCCATGTACCATGTGGCCGAAGATCATATATCTATGTATGAAGACTAACTTTTTTATTATTAAACCTAACTTTTATTATTTAAACCTCTTCAGAAAAATTAAATTTTTTCATTTTTCAAATTTTATTGAAATATTTCTAAATGAATTAATGTTATTTAATACTATATATTTTAATGTTAAATGAATTTAAACTATGTAAAATTAACACTATCTAATAATACTAATAATATTCACCAATAATCTTAACAAAATATACACCAGTATATTAACGCTAATAGGTCACCATACTTTTAAACTCAGTCTTATGTTGTGATAGTGTTGTGATGATCATAACAAATCAACAAAATTACAGACTCTATGCTAACTGCTAGTTCAAAAACAAGGTGACATCATTTATTTTACAATTCGGCTGTCATAATCAAAGTGAATCGAACATTTAAAAATATTTGAGCAAACATTAAGTAAAAATAAAGTAAAAATAAAGTAAAAAAAGTAAAAATAAAGTAAAAATAAAGTAAAAAAAGTAAAAATAAAGTAAAAAAAGTAAAAATAAATATAAAGTAAATTAGGAAAGAAAGTGTTGTCAATATTATTATTTTACCCATTAAATGATTGAATTTCATAGTGGCTATCCGATATTACTAAAAAAAATTTCGCCATATCAGCATATAGATATTTGATACTATATTACGGTATCAGTATATTTTTTGTTATTGGTATAAATATTTATTTATTATTATTTTATTATTATTATTATTTTCTTAAATTATTGGCCAAAGAAAATTTAATGTATTACTAGCATTTATTCTTTTTATATGAATTGCCCAGGACTATATTAATTATAATACTTGATTCGTTATGTTAGTATGTTAGTATGATAATGAAATGACAAACATTTAATAAAATATTTCTACGTAATGAATAAAATCTTCTATATTTGATTCTGAAATCAACGAGAAATCCTGTTTTGAGTAATCCTTTCGGATTCTCCGTGGAATTCCAAATCCAATAATAATTTGAGTTTTATGTATGCGTGTGTATTTTACCTATACCGATACAGTATACTAATATTCCGGCATTAAAATTTTGTGACAGAATGATAAATGTGTTGCATACTATATTTATGCTTAGAAATTCGATCAATATTATAAAGTTTTGAACCTTTTACATGAATGCTATCGTACATTCACATGTACATTAAAGAACGAACAACAAAAAAAAAAAAAATTACATCGGTGCTACGCAACAAAATTTATATATTTATATCTGAATCAGGGTTATCGTTTCATATCACTTGAATCACACAAATGACAAAGACTATATTATATAAATAATTTCTTCTTTTATACAATTTTACAGAATAAAGTGCTTTATAGAGGAAATAATTTAAAGAATGTCACTCTTGCTTTACTTTAATCGGTATGGTTCAAAGTAAATCCTTGGAAAGCAAGTAAGGGTCAATGCGTCATGTCAGGAAAATAAAGGCTAATGTTTAATGAAACTGATGTTGTAAGTTTATCAACATGATAAATATAACGCATTGACCGTGCGAATGTTTTCATTGGTACTTATTTGATTCTTCCTCTCTTATTTTTATCTTATGCTTATCTCATTTTCATCATGACGTCTCTCTCTAATTCGTAGAACAATCGTAATGTTTTGGCGTACTTAAAGCCCGGGGAGAATGAAACAAACAGAGAAATTGATAACACAAAAGAAATTTCAAATATTGTATCAATATTATATCAATACTGTAATATGAATTTATCTTTCCAAAAATATCTAACTTTTCAAAAGAAGTGCAGTCATTATGACGAAAAGATGTGTACACACCTGCGGTATATCGCATTTGACTCAGGTCAATTATATTATCACTCACGTTACAAATATAAAATTTTTACTTATCAAATTATTTATGTGATAAATAATTGTGATAAAATTCGGAATGTGATGCCGGTGATACCGGTATCACACCTATTCTTCCCCCAATACTTCAGCAACTGAAACATGAGTTCAATCTTCCCAATTTTCTTTGCTCTTATGAGCCGTGATTGGCAATTGACTGTATGCAAGAATATGAGGGACAACTTATTATATCATTATGACTTACTCAGTTGCTAATTAACATCTTAAAATAGTTCATAGTTGATCCTTCTTCAATCTTGTAATTTATATCTTTTTACTCAACTCACACGATATCATCTGTCTATGCTGTATATATTTAACTAACAAAGGTCCTGGACATTAATAACTGATACGTATGATATTGCTCAACTTTAAATAGACATAGTTGTACATACAATTTACAAATATCACAACTTTTTATTTTATGTACGTTTATATATACGTTTATTAATAATAATAAAGATGACGAGTGAAGTGTTTTTAAAGTTTTCAATTATTATTATTATTATTATTATTATTTTGCTATCCGAATATCTGATAAATTTACATAATAGTATAAGAATAATAGTATAAGAATTCCGATTTTATATTTAAATAAAAAAAAAAAAGTAATGTAAAAAACGCTCGCTTTTATGCCCTCTCTTTTATCTCTTGGACTTTCAATCTAGTCATAAACTGTTTAAAATAGTTTTCTTGTTCGCTAAAAGAGCAAAAAAAAGCACCCATAAAACTTTTCTCCTTTTCTCCTACTACGAGACTTTTATGAATCTTTTGGTTCATAATTATGTTTCTAGTTCTTACTATAAATTCTCAACCATAATCTATATAATATAAACAATGATAAAGCAATTAATGTATTCAAGCAATCAGAAAGATCATCAAATTAAATTTTTTTTTTTTCTTTGCTCCCGTGTGTGTGCTTGTTCCTCTACGGATTATTTTTTATTCAATTATCACATCACAGGTAAGTCTCACAACAATTTAGATTAATTATATAATATATATATATATATTATATGTATGAATATATACATATATATATATATATAATAATTATAATAATTAATGTAATATAAAATTATATTACTGTATATATTTATATTTATTTTAAAAATCATCGGTATGTAAAAATAATAATATATAAAATAACACCCAATCTTTCCCTTATGAATAAAAAAAATTCTTTTATACTTTTAATAAATTAAAAAAAAATATATATATAATAACCAGAACGCTTTAAAATTTTTTTTTAAAAAAAAACCGTTAGCTTTTTTTTTTTAATGATAAAACATTTTTGTTATTAAGAGTTCGCATAGACATTAACCAAACAAACCACAAAAAAAAAAAAAAAAAATACAGACTATAAGTCTCCTCCTGGTCAGAGTGACTATATAATCCACAACGAAAAAAGCGTATTTTCTTTATTTTCAACTTTAAAAAAAAACTCACGATAATTCTCAACGATCTTGGCAAAACCTTTTCGTGGTATCTAGTTTTGGCACCATCGCTCAACGAAGAAGCGATTTCGCCATCACTGCAAAAGTTGAGAATTACAAACAAAAGAGAAAAAAAAAGCAAATCGCGTTTTTTTTTTTCTTCTTTCTTTATCAGATCACGCAACTAAATATTGTGTAAAATTGTTTTCTTATTTATTGTTTTTTTCTTTCAATCCAACTTTACTTTCAAAAAAAAAAAAAAATTCGTCCAAAAAAAGATTCCCCAAAAAGTTCTTTTTAAAAAAAAACCAAAATTTTTATTAACTTATCGCCAAAAAAATCATTTTCAATGATTGTTTTACAACCATCTCATAACGATATTCATACAAGGAGTCTTGATTTAGCTAGTGGAAACTTCTCTGCAATTCCTTCCCAACATATTCCTTCCTCCATGTATCAAACTGCCCCCCAGTATCAACAACAGTCCTTTGTTTACTCAAACATATATCCTTCCGCTTCTCATCATTCAAGATCACCATCTACCTCATCGTTATCTAGGCATTCACCAGCCGATACTTCGTTCACTATAGATACAAATTATTTGTATCAACCATCTGTTAATACTACTAACGCTATGGCTACTTCACCTGACGTACAAAAAGCTTCGCCTATTCAACAAAATCATTCTTCTCCAATGATGCCTTCTGGATCGGCATCAACTGTTACTTTATCGCCTGATAATCCCAATATTCTTCCACCTTTGTCTGAAGTATTCCCAACTTCATCTGCTCATCCTGGTCAGCAGAATTCGTCTTCCGCATCATCCCCAATTCAATCTCAAGTTGTTCCACAATCACAACAGCAACAAACGAATGCAAATATGCCTATGACTTCTGCCGCCGCACATTCTGGTTTTTATCAAACCATTTCACAATATTCTGATGTAAACGCTGCGGCAGCTTCATTCGCCGCTCAACAGGTTACCGATACAGTTACTTTTTCAGCAGCACCAATGATGTCACAAAGTCAACAACCTCAAATTGCCTCTAACATTTCTGTTGCTGATCCTCGTACATTACCTCGTATTGGTCCAAATGGATCTGAAATGCAAGCTCGTAGTAATGCATCAATGCTCGCTATTAACACAAATGGATTGACAGTTGGAGCTACAGATACTAGTCCAATGAGTGCCGGGTCTTCTACAGGATCACCTATAGTACCAGGAGTTCCAAATACACTTAGCTATCATCATAGCGCAAATGCGGCACATCATCAAGCCTTACTTAACAGCCATTTTATGGCAGCCGCACAATCTATGAATAATGGTAGTTTGATAGCATCTACAAGACAACGTTCACCTAATAATCATCATCGAGGAACAAGATCAGAAGATGGTAGTGATGCTATTTCTCAAACCACTAATGGAGAACGTCCTCAAAAAGTATACTCATTTGTTGCTCTACCGGGCATTAACACTAAGAAAAGACCCCGTCGACGATATGATGAAATTGAACGTCATTATGCTTGTAATTATTCTGGATGTACAAAGAGTTATGGTACTCTTAATCATTTAAATGCACATGTACAAATGCAAAAACATGGTCCGAAACGACATCCTTCCGGTAAGTTTATTTTTTACCTGATTAATTGAGTTACTCGGGTTGAGTTACTTGAGTTTCTCGGGTTGAGTTACTTGAGTTACTCGAGTGTAATAAGAATTATCTTTATTATATGTTTATATGTTGACTACGGATATGGTTTAAAAAAATAATATAATATGATAATAATATAATATGATAATAATATAATATGATAATAATATAATATATAATAATATGATACTAATCCTTTTTTATAATATATATTTTTTATTCAATATTTAATAGAATTTAAAGAACTTCGGAAACAATGGCGACGTCAAAAACGTGAGGAAGAAGAACGTAAAGCTGCTGAAGCTGCCAATGCCAAAAACGTTATGGGCTTAAATATAAATTCTCTTTCCACGATATGAAAAAAAAATTAAATCTTTAAATGGAACAATTTATTATTCGCCATCCTATTTTTGCCTTTTTTTCCTTACGCTTATTGAATTCGAATCCAAGCCTTTATAAGCAATAAGATGGTTAAAAAAATTGTTATATATAGTACATAGTTATTATGATGGACAATTGTTATTTTCAAAAAAAAAAAAAAAAAAAATTTCTTTTTATTATATGGGGAGTAACAATTTTATTATGGAAGGTTGTCAAAGTGTGAGATTCATCATATAAACCAAATGTTTTCAACTGTCCATAGTAAATAAATAAACAAAATTCTTTCACGTTGGTTTTTTTTTTCTTGTATAATCAAATTGTTTCATTAGTGTTTTTCTTTTTTTTCTTTTATATATTTTTTCTTTTTTTTTTTAGATATTAAGAAGGGCACGTTTAGATTATTTGCACATAGTCATATGTATAAAAAAAAAAAAAAACGTAAAATAGCAATAATCATATACCGGTTGCAAGATACTGTAAGTTTCTTTACGTTGTAAGACTTTCTTATTTTTTTATTTTCTGTAATTTTCTTTTCAATTTCAAATTGCTGGTAAAAAATCAAAAAAAAAAAATTCAAAAAAAATTTCGAAAAAATATTTAGCCTACAATTGATTTGTAATGTTAGATTTTTTTTTTTTTATTCAAACTTTAGATATCGTTTTTTCACATATGGTTTCAATTTAGGGGTTAGATTTCTTTTTTTTCTTTAATTGTTTATAAAAAAAAAAAACCAATAAATGGTTCGGGGTTCATTATTGACTTAATAAAAAAAAAATATGTAAGAAAAAAAATATATACATTGTGGAATACTAACCTAATAAGTTTATTAAATCGTGAGACATCATGAATTAGAAAAATGTTTTGGCATGTTTTTTTTTTTTTTATAAATCACGTTTTCATTAAACCGATGAAATGGTTTATATAGGACTTTGATCGAACCGTTTAAAAATCTCGGATCCACATCTGTTATACTATATATGATATATAAGCACTAGCCCCAACAGTTGTTCATGGGTTTCCCGATCTGATAACCTTAAAGTTTTAGTTACGTATTATAAAATTTCCTCGTGTCTGTCCTGTTAGTTTACATGGTAAGGTTATGTAAAATGGTCGAAATAGCCAATAAAAACCCCCCCAAAAAAATTTTTTAAAGTTAATAAATTTTGCTAATAAATTTATGTTTAAAACGTTCATAATATTTATAATATTTTGTGTATTGGTTTTTTAAAAGTTCAAAATGGTGATTATCAATCATCCCCTGATCACCAACCGTCAAAAAAACAGAAATAATTTAACCTTTTTTCGCTATTTACTTTATTTAGGCCTTCCACAAAAAGCCTTAATTACAAATAATAATTAATTAAAATATTAACGATAAATTATTGACAACTCTATTAAAATCCCACATTACATGGACACATGATAACTGATCTTTAAATTGTCTGACCGTGGAGATAGCTAAAATGGTAAAAATTAGGACACAAGTCAATAATTATCCTGGTCACGTGGCAATATAGATATGACGTGTAATCGAAATATGTAATCATATCGGAAACATTAGGATCAGTAATCACGTGAAGTGAGATATGGCAATGTCAAGACACTTTTTTAGGCATGTATAAATTTGAAGTAACAAAGTAAATACGCGTATACATAACATATTTTTTGGATTTTCAGTGAATTATGATATATAGAAATGCGCAGTCAAACTTTTTGAGCATTGTGTTACTCGGAAATTCCATGATACCAACTATTCTGTATCGAACTTTCCAAGTATATAATGTGCAATGATACTCGGATGTTTAAAATTAACCTATTAAGTTTATTAAGTTTATTTATTGAGTTGATTCAAATTGAGTGATATTCTAAAAATAATAAAATATGGAATACTTATGATATTGATGATGTGATACCGTAATGTGTTATATGTGTTATAGTGAAAAATGTGATAGATATAACAGCCGTCTTATCACATGATAATGTTGATAATGATGATAATGATAATAATGCTAAATATTCCAATCTTAATAATCTTTAACGTTAATAATCTTAATAAAATTCCTGCATAACAAATTTTAAAACGTGTGTGCGTATTTTTCTAACGCGACCCTACATTTTTACATATTATTGCATTGCTTTAGCTATGTATGTCCATTGAATGCGTATAAAAAGATGTATTAGAATTTAATATTTTAAGGTAATGCACACAATATACCTTCTAATTGAAAGACTATTTGATACATATTCTTTTTTTTTCTCATGCCTTATTATTACTAGTCGAACCAATGATCAACACATGGCCAAATTTCATCCCGAATATCGGGCCATCTTAACCCGCGATCTTCAGTACAACGAACATGCATTAAATATGTGACAGATTCGTAAGATTAATAAAATATTATATTAAATGTATATAAGATTGAAATAGGAAAGTCAACGCTCAAGTCCAGGGTCGCGTGTTCAAGCTTATCATTTTGAAGATGAAAAAGGATTGTTCAATTTTATTTGTTACATATCTTTATGAATGTACGATGCCAATCTTTTTGATAACTTTTTTCGCTTTAATAAGTGTTTCTAATTTTATGCTGCGTCTTTTTTATGCAATATTTGTTTTTAAACACCCAGAATTCGGCAAATCCTCATTATTTCCGACTTTGCTTATGTCATTTCTGTAACTAATGAAAATCTTTCCTAAAATGTTTCATATAAAATTATATAAACTATACAGGTCTGATGTATGACAATATCCTACTAAGGTAATCATTCTGACAAATCGCGAGACCAATCATAGACAATTCCGTCAACAAAAAACGGTCATCAAAAATGATCATATTTCAAACATTATAATTTCTGTTCATTAATATCTTCATATTATTATTGGATTGTGTAAATTCTAATAAATTTCTTGAACAAAGAACAAAAAAAAAAAAAAAGCTATTAAAAGAAATATTCGCAATTTATAACAATAAACTTTAAATAATTTTAAACATTTCTAGATGTAACAATGTTCGATGTCTGTTCCTCTCACATGTACTTTCTAACTTTAATTATAATGTGTGACATGTTTATCCAAATTTCCTTAATGGATTCCATAGTAATTTATGTTTTAAGGGTCCTCCGCTTTCTGAACGAGATTATATACGTTAAAGATAATCCGCATGCAAAAAAAGTAATTTGAATACAATTATCATTTCCTGTTTTCTTCGCGTCATGATTACTCGACGTGCATATAGAATGGTGCATATTTATTACATCATACATAGCATACAAATCGAAAGTTTGTTTGTCGAATTTTTATCGGGGCAACACCCATATGTAGGTAAAGTTCCTCCGCTTGTATATGCTATATAAAGTCATTTCCGGAATATCAGGTTACAAATGTCGACCATGTTCTATCGTGAAAATCTAGAAGTATGTACATAATTCGACAAAAGTCGAACCTTTTCTTTTTTGTTTAACATTGCTATTGGTGATAAATGGTAAACAAATAATTATCTGATATCACTTTAAAAGAAAATCGTGTGACATTCTAACTTTTACGCGTAATAATAGTCTATGTTCATTTTTTTTTAATATATAAATTATACGATAAAAGATTTACGAACAATATTTAAATTTGGCTTTTGTCTCCGAATTATGTTTTCCTTATGTTGCGTATGAAAAACGCAATACGTGATTCAAATGGAAATTGTATGACGTACGTCCAAATCATCTCATTTTTATTGGTTTTTGCAAAAATAATATGACGTATTGTTTTACCTATACAGTATATATATTTATAGAAATATATATATATATATACAACAATTATATACAACAATTATACGACCCCTTTTTAAACAGAATTTCAACGCGCGTACTTCATAGATTACTAATCATTTCTTGAGAATTCTCGTAAGCAATAAAATTTTATTTTTATATATTGTATATATAGAATAACCTCACAAAGTAAAATGTAATACAGTTATTGGGTAATGTGTACAATATACAGTATAACAAATACAGAAATAAATCAGTATTTAACTTGTTTATTATGTATAAAAATATATGTATGCGCATAATTAGGGATCGTACTCGGTTAGAAATTGTTATTATATAAAGTATATACTCAAATAATTTAATAATACTCGGTAAAAGATTTTCTTAACCGGGACAATTTTCTATGTATAATAAAATAAAATAAAGTTAGCATGTACTTACATACGTACAAACAATACAAGGCTTCAGTAGTAAACTATGTACAAGTTTATTTCATCTAATTCGCTCTAAACTGTAATTATAACTGCAGTAATTATCATAACTGTAATAATATAAAAATATCATAATGTAAATATTATTTTTATATAATCACATATGCAATATTTAATTTAATATATATAAAAAAAAAAATGAATTTTGAATTTATTATTTAGCATCAAAAGTAAAGCAGATAAATTTGGATTCCGCCTAATCGATGATCTGGTATTTTAAGCCAATCAGAATCGATAACCTGATAATGCATGTTTGTGCGCATTTAAAGTGAAAAGTATACCCTTATAAAGAATAAATCATTTTGCCAGTAATAATAACATATGATTTTTTTGATAGAATCGAATAACCCAGTAACATGCGATATATTATTGATCAGAATCGAATGACCAGTAACATATGATCTATTTCTCAATGACAAATCGAATGACCAAAATCATTGATTCTGATTACTAGGTCGCGAGATAAATTTATCTTAATTAAGCATAAGAAAAATGAATTCTGGTATAGAAGATTAATTGCACACTAATGATACGTTCAGTATCCTATAATCCTGCGATTAGAACAATTCCTATGCCACTTGATTCATCTCACTAAATTTAGCTAAACCGTCAAGATTGTTCAATGTTTTAAAAAGTTTGATAAAAGTACATTTAAAATACATTTAAAATAGGTTTGTATGCTTAGTAATTATACCTTGGTATATCTAAGTAAATAGATCTTTGGTATA